GTGAAATTTTAAATGACTGACAGAGAGGGAGGTGCAGGAGAAGAGGGTGAAGAGATAATGCTTTAGGTGTGATGAGAAGTATACTCCAGGGCATAGATGCAGGGACCAAACTCTTCAGGTTCTCATCGTCTGTGATGGCGAGGAAACTGAGGAGGGAGGTAAGAGAGAGGTAGAGGAAGAGATGGAGGGCAAGCTGCATCTGGATGTGGCGGAGGTATCCCTGAACTCTGCGGTAGGATTCACCCTGAATCATACCATGAAAGTAAGGGGAAATAGTAGATATGGAGGTGGTGGTGTTGATTGATAGTGGGGCTACTCACAATTTTATTTCCAATCAGGTTGTGAACCAATTGGGGATGAAATTGGTGGATATAGGGTGCTGCGGAGTGATGATGGGCAGGAGGAAGGTGGAGATGAGCAAGGGAATATTTTGGGGAGTGGTGTTGACCATGCAGGGGATACAGGCGAGGGGGGTTTTTTTCTCATTGGAGTTAGGGAGCACTGATGTTATCCTGGGGATGAAGTGGCTGCAGACCTTGGGAGACATCTATGTTAACTGGAAGGCATTGACGATGGAGTTGATGGTGGAAGGGAGAAGAGTAGTGATAAGAGGAGATGAGGGGATCTTTAAAGCCATGGTGTCTCTTAAAACCATGGTGACGAGTATCCAAGAAGTGGGGGCAGGGTACTTGGTGGAATTGCACATGCTAGAGGGGATCAGATTGGAGGAAAGTGGGGAAGTTCATCTTTCAGTACGACCATTGATCCAACAATTCAGTGAGGTTTTTCAGCCACCTCAAGGATTGCCACCACCAAGAGAACATGAGCACGTATCACTTTGAAGGAAGGTGTTTCACCCATCAGTGTCAGGCCTTATCACTATCCACAATTTCAGAAAGATGAGATTTAGAAGTTGATTAGAGAAATACTGGAAGCAGGGATTATTAGGCCCGATTTTAGTCATTATCAGGCCTAGTATTAGTCCCTTTTCTAGCCCAATATTATTGGTTAAAAAGAAAAATGAGAGTTGGATGTTTTATGTGGACTACAGGGCGGTAAATAAAGAAACTGTGCCAGACAAGTTTCCCATCCCAGTGATCGATGAGCTGCTGGATGAGTTGAGTGGAGCAGCTATCTTCACCAAGATAGATTTGAAGTCCGGATACCGTTAGATCAGGATGAAGAAGGAGAATGTGCCTAAGACGGCTTTCAGAACTTATGAGGAGTATTTTGAGTTTCTAGTGATGCATTTTGTTCTCACTAACGCCCCAACCACTTTCCAGTCCCTCATGAACAAGGTCTTTAGACCTCGTGTTCTTTGATGATATCCTGGTTTATAGCAAGTCAGAGGAGTACTAGGAGCATTTGAGGAGGGTTCTAGAAGTGTTACATGAGCATCAGTTAAAGGCCAATTTGAAGAAATGTTATTTTGCCCAGGCTATTGTGAAATATATAGGGCATATCGTCTCTAAGGAGGGGGTGGCAGTAGATCAGGCCAAGATTAAAGCTATGTTGAGGTAGCCAATACCAAAGAATCTTAAGGAGTTGAGGGGATTCCTAAGACTGTCAGGTTACTACAGGAGGTTCGTGGAGGGGTACAACACCATCGCTTGACCACTAACAGAGCAGCTGAAGAAGGATGATTTTTTATGGGGGTAAGTGACTACAACAACTTTAAGAGCCTGAAAAAGGCCATGACTACTGTACACTGGTCTTGTCCCTACTAGACTTTACTCAAATCTTCATAGTAGAGACAGATGCTTCAGTATATGGTTTGGGAGCGACACTCATGCAAAACCATTGACCCATCGCCTACTTTAACCAGGTTTTGACAGCCATGGCCAGGCTAAAATCAGTTTATGAGAGAGAGTTAATGGCGATTGTGCTAGCCATCCAAAAGTGGCGGCCCTACTTGTTGGGTTGACATTTCATTGTTAGGAAAGACCAGAGGAGCATGAAGTACTTGCTGGGACAGAGGATGGTTATTGAGGAGCACCAGAGATGGTTGTCCAAGCTGCTGGGGTATGATTTTGAAATCTAGTACAGGCCAGGAGTGGAGAATAAGGCGGCAAATGCCTTATCTAAATGTATGGGGGAGCTACAGGCGATGGTATAGTCGATACCATTGATGTTAGATTGGGAGGCCATAAAGGAGGAGAGTGCACAGGATGAGGAGTGTGTAAAGATCAAGGATGATTTGTTGGAGGAAAGTAGCCACCCAGGGTATTCTCTTGATGATGAGAGGCTTCTGTACCTGGGGAGATTCGTGATGCCTAGGACATCAGTCCATATTCCACACCTACTCTAGGAATTCCATGGGAGCACTATTAGGGGTCATTCAGGAGTGCAAAAGACGTATAGGAGACTCGCCTCAGAGTTTTATTGGAAGGGGATGCACAAGGATGTGGAGGAGAGGAACAAGTACTTGGACATATCTCCAAAAGGATTACTACAACCACTAGCTTTACCAGTTCGGGTGTGGGAGGAGATATCTATGGACTTCATAGATGGATTACCTAGATCAGAAAGGTTCACAGTGATCTTGTGGTAGTGGATAGATTGAGAAAGTATGCTCATTTCGTCTCATACGACATTCCTACACAGCGGTGATAGTAGCATCAATTTTTATCAGGAAGGTGGTCCGATTGCAAAGGAGTTCCTTAACCACTTTTGGAGAGAGTTATTCAGACTACATGGGACAATTATGAAGAGTAGTACCACCTACCACCCCCAATAAGATGGTCAGACAGAAGTGATCAATAGCAGTTTGGAAATATATCTACAATGCTTTATATCTGATACATCTCGGCTGTGGGCCAAGTGGATAGTATGGGTAGAATACTGGTACAACACTTCATACCATTCTGCTTCTCAGATGACCACATTCAAAGTGTTGTATGGGCGAGATCCACCTCACATGGTGCATTTTGGGCAGAACAGCATACTAGTTCTTCAGTGGAGTACTTGGAGGAGAGGGACAAGGTGTTGGGAAGAGGCATATGATGAGAGCTCAACAAATTATAAAGAAACAGGTAGATGGGTATAAGAAGGACATCCAATTCGAGGTAGGGGAGAGGGTGTTCTTGAAGCTTCGACCTTATGGACAAAAGATTGTCGCCAACAGGAGAAATAAGAAGCCTGCCCCAAGGTACTTTGGGCCATATGAGGTAGTAGAGAGGATTGGAACTATGACATATTGACTGAAATTACCACCTACAGCGGCTATACATTCGGTGTTCCATTAATCCCAACTGAGGAGGGAAATTGGAGATCATGCCGCAAGTTCTGAGTTACCAATGGCGCTGGCAGAGGATTTGGAGGTGATTTTGGAACCCCTTGAGTTACAAGGGGTGCGCCAGGGAGAAGGTTGGGTAAAGGAGGTGTTGATCAAGTGGAATGACCTTCTAGATTATGAGATGACATGAAATCCTTATGAGATTGTGAAATATCAGTTTCCCTCCTTTTACCTTGAGGACAAGGTTATTCTTTTGTTGTGGGGGGGGGAGATATTGTTAGACCGGTCCCTATTGGACCGGTCCCTATTGGACCGGTCCAGCCGACCCCTAGCCAAGGGCTAGCCCATGTTTACAGAAGGTGGGCAGCAAGAGAGAGGGAGAGGGGGGTGGGGTCCACTAAGGATTCAAATTCAAACAAGTTGGAGCCAAAGGAGGGGGCGGAAAGGGCTAATATGTAATTTGGCTTAATTGTTTAATTGTTTGCTATATCTAGGAAAGAGGGGCTAGGGTTAGGGCATTTTATATTTCATTATAATTATAATAAATGAGATTCTTATAATATACATTATAACAAATTAAAAATTTTAATATAATATATAAATTTATAATATTAAATTTAAAAATGTGTAATAAGAATAATATTTAATATAATATATAAATTTGTATTATTAATTTATAAATATACATCATAACAAATTTATAATACAAAATTTAAAAAATTTTGCACATAAATAACCCAAATTCATGGCCTAACCAACTCAAATTTGTGGCTCAACAAACTCAATTTAATGGCCCAACAAAGCCCAAGCTCACATTTAAGCTCACATAACATTCATGTACTCTTTTTTAGTCCCACATCATGAAGGAGTAAGAGATAGTTGGCTTTTGACTCTATATATAGTTCACTCTTTTCTAACAAAACATGTTTCATGAGATATCAACCATATATTATGGTATCAAAAATCTCATTATTTAATAAAAAAAGTATTTTAAAAAAATGTAATGAAGTAAAATATATTATTTATATTTTATTTATCATTAATTTTTTTTTTGAAACCGGCCGGTTCTTTCGAACCCGGACCGGTTCACTTGTTGAACCGCCGGTTCAGTACGGTTCAGGCCGGTTCTTTGCGAGGCCGGTTTTTGAACTGAACCGGATCGGACAACTGGCCGGTTCACGGTTGAACCGGCCGGTCCGGTCCGGTTTTTAAAACCTGGGTATCTTGCTTCATTTCCTCCGTTGGTTTTCTTTTCTACAATAAAAACTACTGTTTTTTCTTGTTTTCCATTAGATTTGTGGAGTTTTCTCGCTATTTTCATCAATCTTGTTAGGGTTACTTGAAATATTAGTATTTCCTATCACATTGCTTCATCTTGAACCTATATGGCAATCTTGATTAGAATTTTAAAATAAAGTAACAGAATGAATTGTTGTTTTAAAAGCTCATATTTCATTATTTGTAATTACTAAAAATTCATCACATCTGAGATCTTGTCAACCGCATTATGTATATTTGTTTATGAATTGTTTTTAGTTTTTTGTTACTTTATTCTTTCTTTCTTAAGCAGATAAGTGAGTAGTTTAGATGTCCTATTTTTTTTTCCCATTCTTTTTTATCTATTGCTGGTGCTTACATTCAAGTCAACCGCAAATTATGCATTTATGTTTTGAGAACTTATTGTTTAATGAGTTATTTGGTACATTTGTACCTTTTATGTCTTGTTGGGATAGGTTCTTACCTCTGTAATTATCCTTTGATGCAGCAATGCTTCACGGACTGGCGCAGATTACAGCTCATTTCTAATTAGATTTCAAAATTCTCTATTGAGAAGAGCACTTAAAGGAGAGAGCTATCTTAAACTGTATAGCTATCACTTCTTGATCAATGGCTTTGCGGTTCTCATCACTCGTCCACAAGTACTAATTCTATGTTTCTCTTAAATTCTTTAACATTGTTTAGTTTTGATAAACATGGTGCTGTAAATATTCAGTTTGCAGCTCTTTATTTTTCACATACTATAATTTCATGCATATCTAATAATTTGCTACACGTACTTTATAAGATATTGTGCAGCATGCTCTGGGAGCTGAATGTTCATGTAACTTCTATTGAGTTGTGGGATTGTTATTGAAATCTGTATGATAAATTTTAGCATCAGGTCTAATTGATTATTATGATGTTGCAGGAGCTCTTCTTTGCATTAATGAGATTCTTAAGTTGTTACCTTATATGCTACCCCTTTAAATCAAACTATTCGATCCAACTTGTCTATTTGTGAAATGTTTAGTTCTTTATATATCTCCCTAATAGACACTAACTGCCTATGCTTTAGAGCCAATTTGTTTCTTTTGTTTATAAATTGAGTACATAGGGCTGTTGTTTCTAAGTTATGTTCTTATAGTTTATGGCACTATATATTGTTGGAGACGAGCACTCTAAATCTGTCTTGCGCTGATGATACTGGCCATTTCCTACCTTTTAGTCTGATGATTTGTATATGTTTTTTATGGATTTGAAAGGCAGACAGGCTTTCTAAGAGAAGAGAGGTAGCGAATGTTGAATTGGATTTCTCTGTCCGAACAGCAACAACATACACTCCTGAATTTTTGGGTTTGCCCCAAGGAGCTTGGGTTGAAGAAGGTGGTCCAGAATTTGCAGGAAAAGGAATTGTCATTGGTTTTATTGACACTGGAATCGATCCAACACACCCTAGCTTTTCTGATGTTCTGTCAGACACTGTTTATCCCGTTCCTGCCCACTTTTCTGGAGTTTGTGAAGTTACAACCGATTTTCCATCTGGCTCCTGCAATAGAAAACTTGTTGGAGCTCGTCACTTTGCAGCATCTGCCATAACTAGGGGAATTTTTAATGCTTCTAAAGACCATGCTTCACCATTTGATGGGGATGGCCATGGAACGTAAGTTTTGGGAATGCTTGATTTTTAAGGTTTCTTTTATCTATTACCAGTCAACTGTGCACCCCTGTTGGCAACCGCATTATGTCTCTCGAAATTGAGTTCATGCTGAACATTCTTGTTTAGGTAACCATATTCTCATTTAGTTGAACAAAATGCAAGATTAAAATGTATGTTCATAACTGTTCATTGGTCATCCAAACTGTAAAAATGTGAAAGGAATTGACATCTTAAATTTGTTTGACTGATTTGGATTTCATTTCCTTGGATGTCTTTACTTCAAAATAATATCTGATTTATCAATTCAGGCATACAGCCTCCATAGCTGCTGGTAACCATGGAGTTCCTGTGAACGTGTCAGGGCATCACTTTGGAAATGCAAGTGGAATGGCTCCTCATGCCCAGTAAATATTCATTTTCATTCAGTTAAAACTCTATTATCATTTGCTTCCATTTATGAGTTTTTCGTAACCTCTTTTCTCTGTCTCCTTTGCTTTTTCACACTATTTCTGCTTTCAGCGTTGCTGTTTATAAGGCCTTGTATAAAAGCTTTGGAGGCTTTGCTGCTGATGTTGTTGCTGCCATAGACCAGGTAAACAGTCACTTCCAAGCATGGACTTTCCAGTTGATGGAACAATTATTTTGGTGCTTAATGTAAAGCGGATCTTTCTGATAGTTTTTTCTTCTTAGAAGATATTACAGTTCTGATTGATTTTTTAATTTGTTTTTGATTGCTTTTCTGCTTCGGACAATTGAATTGGCCTAGTGAAATATAAAAGCATGTTGTACTATTGAAAGGCTAAACTAGTAGTTTAGAAATAAAAACAAGTGTTAATGATTTATATTTTGCCACATATATAACTAATGAGAGCATTTTTAAATGAAGTTTTATTTTACATTGACTCCAGCTAAGTTCTTTTAATTTTTTCAGATTACCTTTCATGTTCGGGTGGTCTTCACATTAGTTTACAAAACTAAAACTTGCGACCCTTAGCATATTAGTCTACAAAACTAAAACTTGTGGACTGCCCGTTCATTTTTAATTCTGATTAGCTTCACATGTTTCAAAGTTTTTACTAGGAATTGAAATATTCTTGAGCATTTCCCTATTTTAATTGCTAAAACACTAGCATTTTCTTGCTTTATATTCAACAAGCACAAGCTCCATTTCTCTTCCAAAAACAGTTTCCCTACGCATTACTTATCCTGGGCTTTGGTTTGCATGCATTCGTTGCAAGCATTAAACCTAACTGTCTTAGCCTTTTATTGGTAAACTTCTCAACTATTAACGGAATTAAGTGATACTTTATCTGATTCCATAATGAATTGGCTACATCAACTTCCTGTTCTATATTTTTATTTCATCTTATTGATGTTGCTGCGGTCCATTTGATTTATGGAATTCTGTGGAAGATTGGAATTGCCTATATTTCATAAATTTATAATTTTTCTGTTAGAAACATCTTAAGGTTGTTATCTAACCATTTGGAAAGATCATCATGGTTTCATGAGAATACATAATATTCATAAAAATATGGAATGGATTTTTTCCATGATTCATTCGGGTCCATTCTCTTTACGTAAATTAGTGGCCTAATTTTGGGTCTCCATGCATTTGATTTTCCTGAAAGTTTTAGTGGTTGATTTAGCTTCCCATAAATGGGAATTTTATTTCTTTGCATCCAATGTCCTTTGAATTACTTTTAAAATTTGAATATTTGCATTTTCATATCAGGCCTTTTTTGGTAATGTCTTTTGATCTGCTTTGCCTTTTTTAAAGTTTGACTTTTCATTAATTTGATTATATGGGAAATTAGAATGAAAAGTGCTGTATTGCATGTGTGCTTCTTTATGGCGACATGTCCATGAGCACCAATAGAGCAGTTTGTCCTACTTTTGGAGAGTGGTAATGATTTTTCTGTCAAACAGCACAACACGATGCTACAATATTTCAAAATAAGTCAGAATTTCCATTTTTCAAGATTGTAGTATTACCACTCACCCATTAGTTTTCTTTCTATTATTTTTGTTAAGTACAATAGCTCTCTTATTGAGGGTTATTTAAAGGAACAAATATATTCTAAAACTGTTTTCCCTTCATTTTAATCCCCTTTACTGATACTCAACTTTGAAACCGGAATCTCATCAAGGAAAGAAAATCATAAGCATCATTGTCATCATTACCGTTGTTCCTTTTATTTGAGCTCACCTCATTTATTCTTGTTGAGTGATGCATTTGATATGATCACATATTTTTGTACAAACTTGTCACGTCTAAACTTGTAACAAACCTCTCATGTTATCAGGAATGTACCTCATCATCTTTGTATTCTGCTGTATATTAAAGTTGAAACTATCAAGTATTTTTCCTGTGGCGTTTTGTTCAATAGGCTCCACGATCACACTTTTTAATATGATTATTTTAACTGTTTCTAGTTTTAACACTCGATCATCTTGGCCTTGTCATATCAATTACATTCAGTTTGGTTTTTCGTGACGTTTTTCCATGTGACTAATAATGAATTCTTGTTTCCTTGGCTTTATCCTTAAAACTGCAGAACAAATATGTATTCCTTCGTCTGTCACTTTATTTTGATGTTTTTATATGTTCTTTAACTGGTCCACAAATTTCATCCTTTAACTGGCAAACCATTTGACAGGCAGCTCAAGATGGCGTTGACATCATAAGTTTATCCATCACTCCTAATAGGCGCCCTCCTGGCTTAGCTACTTTCTTCAATCCTTTAGATATGGCTTTACTTGCAGCTGTAAAAGCAGGAATATTTGTTGTACAAGCAGCAGGAAATACTGGCCCTTCACCAAAGAGCATGTCTTCCTTCAGTCCATGGATATTCAGTGTGGGTGCTTCAGCTCATGATAGAGTCTATAATAACTTTATTGTGCTAGGCAATAATCTTTCAATCTCTGGCGTTGGACTTGCACGTGAGTTTCTAATCCTTTGGAATATATTTATTATATGACAAACATGAGCATTCGCTTCTTACCTTAGCCATGTCTGGCTTGCATTTTAAGCTTAAGTAATAGCCACATGAGTTCAAATGCTTGGTTTAGGTCTAGTTACTACTACTACTAGGGCTGCAAATGAATCGAAGCGAGTCGATCCTCGGCAATGTTCGAGTTCGAGCTCGTTTAAACTTATATTGTTTGAGTTCAGTTTGTGAACATGTTTGAGCTCGATTAATTTCAAGCTCATCGAGCCTCAAATCGAACGCCTCATTTAACAAACTGAGCCAGCCGCTCAGAAATCATAATTTTTTTTAAATCGTGTCGGAGCGGCTGAGCCAGCCTACTCACAACCACCTGCCCCGCCTACTGAGCCTAGCCTGCCATGCTTCATTTGCATTTTCCACTGTCTTATTATATAAAGCGAAATCCCCTTTCATTTCACAGTGTGGGACAAATGAAGCTACCTTTTTTTTTTCCTGAGCGGTAGCCGAGGCGAGAGGGGGAAGTGAGGCGAGAAAGCTGAGGCGGGTGAGAATAAAAGTAGATTGAGAGAAAAAATTTAATTAAATTTTTCTAATTAGTTAGATTACTAAAAAGAGAAGTTTAAAATGTCTAATTAAAGCGGTTAAAGTTAAAAATATTAAATTAGTAAAAATAAATTATTAAATTAGTAGATTTAATAATATTTATTTTTAAAACTCTAATTGAGCTCTAATCGAGCTTTTTAGTTGAGCTCTAATCGAACTTCTTTGCGAGCTTGTTCACGAGCTTAAACGATACTGTTCGTGAACATAAATGAACCAAATGACAAGCTGTTCAAGCTCGTTTATTTAGCTATCAGGTATTTATCAAGAGTGTTCAAGCTTGTTTGTTTACCTTATCAAACGAACATAAACAAGCTTTTATCGAGCCGAGCCACGAGCAGCTCGTCGAACGCTTGGTTCATTTGCAGCCATAGTTACAACATTTAGCAATACAATTTTAAACCTTGTTTTGGAGTAGGTCTTGATTGCATTAGAGGTGGAATCTTGATCATCTGAATTTATTTCTTATTTACAGCACAAGGGCTTGCTTTTGCTTGGCCACCTTGGTGAAGAGATAGGTTAGCTCTAGAGTGGGTGTTCTAGAACATAATTTAAATCTTGTAATTTTAACCTATTAGACGTTAAAGACTGGCTAATCTTTGAGCTAAAAGCTTAAGTTAATAGATTGCCTTGGAGAAAGGCTGATTATGCAAGCGTCAACTAAGAACATAAGAACATTGTTCTGAATTACTAAAGCTGGAAACCGCTTAGAATCAAGGACATGCTTTCAAATTTTTTGTTGTTACTAGTATTTGATATTCTATTGTTCAATGGTTTTTATGCATATTAATTATCATGGTATTTTTTTTCTTATTCAAAGAATAATCACATTTTCTGAATTCCTAAACGAGAAAACTAACCAGCACTATCTACTTTCAGCTGGAACAGATGGTGATTTGATGTACACTCTGATATCTGCAACTCACGCGTTGAGAAATGATTCAGATAGAGAGAATAATTTTTATGTGAGCGAATGCCAAGACCCTAGCCATCTTAACCAAGATTTGGTCAAGGGAAACATCATAATTTGTAGCTACTCGATCAGATATGTGCTTGGCCTTTCCTCGGTTAAGCAAGCTCTGGTAACTGCAAAGAACGTTAGTGCTGCTGGCATTATATTCTACATGGATCCTTTTGTCCTAGGGTTTCAGCTCAACCCTACTCCTATGGATATGCCTGGCGTGATCATACCCTCTCCTGATGACTCCAAGGTGTGTTCTTTTTTATTTATGCATCTGGATCCAAGTATCATAAAAAATTGCGAGAGTGGAAACACACTTCTTTCCTATCGGTTTTTGTTTATCTATATATTAATTTGTAATTGAATTGCCTCTGGCAATATGCTCTTACCTTTTTGATACCTAGTTAACTTTAATATTCTTTCCAAGCTCTAGTTTGTTGAATTTTGATTTTAAGTCTAAATGGTTGTTCATAAATGTATTTCAAGTGAAATAGTTCATCGATTCTGTACATATTTCCTTTTTTTATACTACTTTTTTGATCTAAATTTGTTTGTAGATGATGCCAGAATTTTACTAGAAAGAATGGCTAAATAAAAAGAGAAAAGCTAGATAGAGAAAGTTCTGTAGAAAGTACATGGCTCGAGTACCAATGATTTCTTGATTGTGCCCCACAAAGCTCACCCTCTAACCGCTTATTTATAGGCTTGTGTTGATGCACAACACCATAGAGAAGGCTACTTTTGAAATCTTTATAAATAGAGATACATTACTAACCCCAATTCTTAATTCTATGATGAAATTTCTTTGAGGAAGACTCGAGCAATTTGGAGCTGGCGAATGATGAGTAATGAGTAAACTTGGCAACTTAACGAGTTCAGTCCACTAGTATATATATATATATATATATTAGTGAGTTCAATTATATTTCATCTTCTGTGTAGGATGACTTACATAATATTTATTAAAATCTGAATGCATAATTCCTTAGCTATAAAGCTGAGAATTGGCCAACAAGCTTCTTTGCCGGCCATAAGGCCAAATATTCTCTTTAACTGGCTGCAATGCAGAGAGAATGATAAAGTATAATGCAAATATTCTCTTAGATGACGGCAAGGCTGAATAGCTTCTTAACCGGCCATAAAGTTGGTGAAGTCAGTGAATAATTGGTTCGCAAAACTTCTTTCTTACGTCATGAAAGTCTCCATATAGGCGCCTCACTCTAGATCGCCTGAGGGCTTACTGGGAAATAGCTTTGAAAGGTGACTGACAAGGCCGAGTTTTCTCTTTAATCAGCTATAATGTCCAATACAACATAAAATTGCTGTATATACTTTTAGGTGAGTACCGATTTTTTGCGCGACTTAACCCAATATATTTTAGGTGTACGGTACTATGTTTACCAGCAACATTCCTAGTACTTGTCATCTTAACTTTAAGATATTGAAGAAACAATTATGCTTAAAGCTTCCAACTATGATACCATTAAATTTTCAATGATTAATTTGTCTGCAATATTTGAATAGGCTGTTCTTCATTATTATAATACATCCTTGGTGAGGGATGGAGTTTCAAACCGCATAGTTAAATTTGGCGGTGTTGCAAGAATATTGGGAGGTCTAGGTGCTAACTATAGCAACTCTGCTCCAAAAATAATGTATTATTCTGCAAGAGGGCCAGACCCAGAGGACAATTCACTGGCAAATGCAGACATACTGAAGCCAAATCTTATAGCTCCTGGTAACTTCATTTGGGGTGCTTGGAGTTCTTCTCTTGCCACAGACTCTGCTGAATTTCAAGGTACTAATTCAATCATTTATCTTATTTAGTTAACTTTTATGTCTACATATGTTCACTTTGTACTACAGTTGATCTCTTTTTTACTCACTTCCATCTATGCTAAATTTCCTTGCAGGTGAAAATTTTGCAATGATATCTGGTACTAGCATGGCCGCTCCCCATGTAGCTGGGCTTGCCGCTCTTCTAAAACAGAAGTTTCCAAGTTTCAGCCCATCAGCCATTGCTTCTGCACTCTCTACAACTGCTACTCTTTATGACAAACAAGGTGGACCAATCATGGCTCAACGAGCTTACAGCAATCCAGACTCATCCCAATCACCTGCTACACCGTTTGACATGGGAAGCGGTTTTGTTAATGCCACTGCGGCTTTAGATCCAGGAATAATTTTCGATGCGGGTTAGTCGAACCTCCTTTCCTCAGCACCATAACCCGAATACCTTTTCCTTATATAATCTTTTGCCATACATTTCTTTTCAGATTATGATGATTACATTTCTTTTCTTTGTGGCATCAATGGGTCTACACCTATCGTTCTAAACTATACTGGCAACAACTGTGATTCTTCCACCATTAATGGCACAGACTTGAACTTACCTTCAGTAACTGTAGCATTGTTGAATCAATCGAGAACTGTCACAAGAAGATTAACAAACATAGCTAATGATGAGACCTACAGTGTCAGCTTCAGTGCACCTTATGCAGTTTCTGTTTCCGTCGCCCCTATCCGGTTTTCGATAGCGAAGGGAGAGACACAAAACCTGACTTTTGTACTGACCGCCACAATGAACAGCTCCTCTGCAAGCTTTGGGAGGATTGGGCTCTATGGGAGCCGAGGTCACATTTCGATGATTCCATTGTCGGTCATCGTGAAGATCACAGGCAACATGAGTACTACAAAGCTGAAATGAGCCAAATGATTCTTTTGCTTTGACAAGTCTGATAACCCATTTTTTTATTTTTTGGTCTGTACTTGTTTTATAAGATATATTGCTGAAGCTGAATGCAATTAGAAACTTAATGGACAAATAGTTGTATCATATTCTTGTTGAAGTTACTAAGGGGAAGTAAATTTCTTCTGTTCAATAGCGTTCTTGAAAAGCTAGCATTTAGTCATCCTGGATCCATCCTGTGAGGCTTTCAATTTCAGTTCCAGTTCTCTATCCTTCTGTTTTTAATGATCTTCGGATGTTTTATTTGCCCTCTTTCGGAGTGTTTTTTGCTTAGCTTGGATTGTTAGGAAACATTGTGGTTTTTATTGTTCATCTCTCAAATGATAGTGATTATGTTAAGGGTTTTTATTCATTGGATATACACCATTAGAAGGGCTCAAATGAAATTTTAAAATGATCTCCTTCAGTTGGATAGGCTCTGGGTCTTGATAAACAATAGGGTCGCCATTTTATCTTAAAATCAAGGTGTTTTCTAAAGCTCTACGTGAATCTCATCGGGCTTATTTGGGTTGATGGGCGAGCGTGATTGAGTACCCCCAATCCACGTTCAACTCGTCTCTCATGCTGCATGATTCTTTAAATGGGGAGAAAATAAACGCTTGGTCCGACACATATGGGTCTAGTTGCCTTTGGGCTTGCCGAGGGATTAATTATTTCGTCTAGCGACTCTTTTATGGGGATAGCAGCGGGTAGATATCTCGTAAAAAAAAAAATCTCTACTCGTTGACATAGTTACTGCTAGTATTTTTAGGTTATATCGTGCACATATTTCAGTACAAATGGAAAAACAATATGATAATGAAGGTTAAATACACATGGCAAAATAATATGATAATGAAGGTTGGATTGGTTAAGTTGATCATCGATACTGCAGATAATATTTTAAAAAGTATCTCCTAATAATAGCAACGTTGCTATTGATATTATATTAAAAATTAAAAATAATGCATATAAATTAAAAGAAAAAAAGGAATAAATTTATGTAGTTATATTCTCATTATTTTTTTATTGTATATTACACTATACAATTTATGAAATATTAAAAATCATAATTTAAATAAATGATAGATAAAATTATAGCGTGAAAGTTGGAATTGTATATTAGTTGAAAATATTTTATTAATGATATTTCGTATGTTTGTTGGTTTTTTTTCCCTTAGTCTACCGTCGGAGTAGTATATGATTGGATGGCCTTATTTCACTTTAGTGCCAAGTATGCTCTAATATGCTAGCAAGAGATCATATGCATCATATGAGAATCAAGTATATTAATGTTAAGGGTACACCCAAACATCCATAAAACCTGGTTCAAGCTAAGTCAACCCGACTTGTCACGTCTTGGGATCTGAAGCGCAATAACTTTTTTTTTTTCTCTGTATCATTTTTTATTATCATTTTATTTATTTTATGTTTTATTTAACAACTAGATCAATTTGACATTCAGTGCTGAATAATTGCAATACATGAAATAAATAAACAATGGAAAACATCATTCCATTTTCTATAGTAAATATTTACATTTTGTACTCATAAATCCCAATGAATCGCATGGATTAGTCGCCTTGACTACGTATAACTTTTAATCAATCGCTAGCTCCTTATGACTCCAATAAGTGAAGCAGTACTCTTAAAGTTATCACATAGGATTTATTATTTCAAATATGTGATATCAATCAGAATATCCTTTCAGTTAGATCAGTATTACATTCTAGTACATATCAGTTCTATCAATCATTTCAACACATATTACATATCAATATTATCATATCAAATCATAGTACATCACCAACTTTCAACCCATTTTAGTATGCCTCTTTCCTACTCATTTCATAGAAATATTCATATACATGTTTCTAACTAGTGAAAATGTAATAAAATCATATCATGTTGTTCAGAATGATCAAATCTATAACATATCAAAAGTTACATGGTGAAAGCTTACAAAATCAGGATATAATGTATTTTTGACAGATTTATGAGAGATAAAATCCGTAGAAATCAAAATCACCAAAAATAGAAGTAAGAGGATAGTCACTTATTATGAGTAGCATAATTTTTCTAACAAAAAATGACAGAAGAAAAAGCTCAGAAGATCATCTTTCTTTTTTCCTTTCTCTTCTTCCTTCTTTGATTTCTTCCTGTGCAAGGCAGCGCTTAGTGGTGGGAGGGAGAGGGAATGGCAGGGATGTTTATAATTTAATATATATAAAAATATATTTTAGTGCCAAAGCCACCAATAGTACCTTAACGCTACCAACTGAATCTAGAATTATTGTAGAACAGAAACGTAAATGCCATGATGACGATTTCTTGCGCCACCGTGCTCTTAAGCTAGCGCCGCAGTGCTCCAAAGCATAGTGCTAAATCACTCTAGTTCAAATAGACATTCAAAAACTCATATTTTTCATTTACCAAATTCTTTTCATGTCTTTGGATTATTACATGATGTATACTAAATTAAGCTAGTTCAAGAGTTAAATTTGATTTACTCAATCTCATATTCACTATATATTATATATATATATATTATCACTTTTGTAATGCTCAGGCCCCAGCCCAAAACTATAAATATGAGGTTGAGAGGTGAGCACAATTTATACATTTTTACACAATTTGTTATGATTGAGCACATTTTATAAAAATCTTAAAGCTTCTTTCTCTAAATTTTTTTTTTCACTCTCTATATATTTTTTTTCTTTCTTTCACTCAGCATTCTCAATGTAATTTTGTATGATTCATGGGCAATGTTGGGTTCAATATTTGGTACCACTTTATAAAAGAGAATGTTAAAAACAGTGATATTTTAATTTAAAAGACATGCATAGAGCACAATTCTGCTTACATAGTTACCATAGTGATATTTGTTCATAATTTCAAGAAATGCTTGAACTTTATAGGTTTGTGTATTGTTAATGCCCTTCAAGACTTTGAATGCGTTGACTTTGCTGATTTGAGCATATTAGACTATTCACTTGATTTATTATTGATATGGAAGATTTGATATAAAGAATAACTATGAGTGAATATGTTAAATATTGACTGTTATTTAATAATTCACACATTTAGGTCATAATCCTACTACTCATACTCAATGTGTTAGATAGCTTTTGGTATTTTGTGAATGACACAAGGAGTTGATGAGGGAGGATTTTTGCTTTTTTTTTTTGCATTCTCTTGAGAAAGATTAGTTCAAAGATATGGTAAGATCTTCTCCACTTGCTAGTTTTTAGAGAAATGGATTTTAGCGCTCCATATATTCGATTGCCCCCTGCTTTGTGGATGTTGTTCATTTATGATTGAATTTAGTTGATTTAGGCTTCGTTTGGGACGGCTTTTTTATTGCTTTCTAAAACGGAGTTTTAATACAAATTTTTTTATTTTTTAACTAAAATTCCGTTTTAGAAAGCAATAAAAAAGCCGTCCCAAACGAAGCCTTAGTGTTCTCCTCAGCGCTTTTTTTTGGGTTGTTTTCTACCATATTTGTGTATTGTGCTTGATATATCACAAAATGTTTTTCAGATCGGGCATGAATCTCGAGGCCAATTCACATGGGAAACTTCTAAATTAATTTTGGAACCATCCAAACTCCGATTTCAGAATATTTAAATTCAAATGGAATGTGTCAAAAAGACGAACCCAACGATACCAAATTCGTTCTAATCTAAGCACAAATGGGTCCAAATCAAAGACCCGAAGCACATTTGAAAGGATTAAACCATAAATTGGACAATCAAATGATTTTCAAGGTGACATGCTTATAGTTGAATTGAGCGACTAGACGAGACGAATCCAACAAGCCTAAGATTGAGAAATTTTGACATCATTAAGGTACTTAAATACTCGATAAACGGTCGATGATCAAGGGAATCAATATTAGCCGTCCATTCGAACCACTCCCAACGTGCCCTTGATCTTCTCCATATTTACTGGTCATGCAACTATCAGAAAATTATAAATAGACCCCTCATTCTTTACAATGGAGGAAAAAAAGAAACGGAAAGAAGAGGAAGAATGAAGAGACATCTGAGATCTCTCTTGCTACCAAGTTCCTCTTCGATCACTCCCCGGCCACCAACCGTCGTTGAACTTTGGTCGGACTTTCACTCGGCCACGAACTGTCGCCAAACTTATGCTCGACCACCAATTATTGTCAGATTTCTTCCGTTGCCCATTGACTACGGTCCTCTTGACCACTGTCATTGACTATGGTCTTTTCGACCTCCATCTCCAGCCGAACTATGGTCCTTCTGACCACCGTCATCCGACTACGGTTCTTCCAACCACTGTTGCCCAAGTATGATCTTTCTGACCACTGTCGCCCCACTATGATCTTCCGACCTCCATCACATTCCAATTATGGTCCTTTCGACCACTATCACTGAATACGGTCTTTCCGACCTCCATCGCTCACCGACTACGATCCCTTCGACCACTATCACCGACTACAATCTTTCTGACTCCTATCACTCACCAACTATAGTACTTCTAACCATCGTCATCGACTATTATCATTCCAACCTCCACCGACTATGGCCCTTCCGACCACTGTCATCTGACTACGATTCTTCTGACCAACGTCGCCCAACTACGATCTTTTTGATCATCGTCGCTTAACTACGGTCTTTCTGACCACCGTCGCCCAACTATGATCTTTCTGACCATCATCCCCCCCCCCTAATTACGATCCTTCCGACCGCCGTTGCACAACTACGGTCTTTCTGACCTCCGTCACCCGATTATGGTTCTTCTTAGCATCCTTCAAACCATCATCGCTTGCTAACTATGGTCCAACCGATCAAACGATTCTGTCAACACCGATTCTTTCAAATCCCATCATGTAATGCACTATATATGATTTATATTTATTACATCGAGCTAAGGCCTTCACCCCAAGGATGGATCTCATTTGTAATCAACTGCAAACACAAGTGGATTCATTCAAATTGGGTTAGACACTATAGTTTTTCCCCTTTTCAGGAGTTTCCATATAAAAAATCTTGTCTCTTATGAACTGTATACCCCTACTTTCTTTTCTGTTTGTATGTTGGATCTTTGTACAAAACTAAGATGCGAAACTATACCACTCTCTACTATCGCTAATATTCCAGGACGCAACAGTGCTCATTATATTTCCTTAGGTTGGGTCTATTGTTCTCTTTATTATTCTCCAAGTGAGTATTTTGGGCCCCTTAGTCAACTAAAAAAGAAGCCCCTTTCTATTAAAACCCACCGTGAATGCTAAGGTATCTCATTTCTTGAATCTCTATTGCACCATCAGTCTTCCTTGTTGTGAAAAAAAAAAGAACGTAACATAGTTAACCTAACTAAGAAAAACTAAAGCGTCTAGTTGAGGAAATTAATTAGAGCTCTATTTGAAAGCACATTTACTTCAGAAATGATGCAAATAAATATTCTACCTAATTCGTTCTAACCTAAGCCCAAATGGGTTCAAATCAAGGACCCGAAGCACATTTGAAAGATTTAAACCATAAATTGAACAGTCAAATGATTTTCAAATGTGACATGCTTGTAGTTGAATCAAGTGACTCGACGAGACGAATCCAATGAGCATAAGATTGAGGAATTCTAACATCATGAAGACACTTAAATAATTGACAAACAATCTATGATCAAGTGAATTAATATCAGTTGTCCATTCGAACCACTCCCAATGTGCCCTTGATCTTTTCTCTATTTGCTGGTCATGCCACTCCTATAAAACTATAAAAAAACCCCTTATTCTTTACAAAGGGGCCAAAAAGAAGAAAGTTAAAGAGAGGAAGAAGGAAGAGAAATTTGAGATCTCTCTTGCCACCTTGCTTCTCCTCGACCACTACTCGACCAACGACCATCGTTGGACTTTAGCCGGACTTCCGCTCAGCCATAAACTGTTGCCGGATTTATGCTCAACCACCAATTCTTAACAGGTTTTTTCTGTCGCCTGTCAACTATGGTCCTTCTAACAACCATCACCGACTATAATTTTTTTTGATCTCCATTGCCCACTGACTATAGTCCCTTCTAACACCGTCATATGAGTACGATTCTTCTAACCACCGTCACCCAGTTATGGTCTTTCCGACCACCGTCACCCGACTATGGTCTTTCCGAACTCCGTCGCACCGACTACGATCCTTTTGACCACCATCACCAACTACCATTTTTTCGACCTTTGTCGCTCACTGGTTAAGATACTTTTGACCACTATCATCGACTACAGTCTTTTCGACCTCCGCCAACCACCGATTATGGTCCTTTCGACCACTGTTATCCTACTACGATTTTTCTGACCAACGTCAGCCAACTACAATATTTCTGACCACCGTTGGCCAACTACGGTCTTTCTAACCTCTGCCACCTGACTAGGTCATTCTGACCACCATCATTTGACTATGGTCCTTCTAACTTATATCATTCACCAACTACAGTCGTGCCAACCAAACGAACATGTCAATAATGATTCTTTCAAATCCCACCATGTAATGCACTCTATATGATGTATATTTATTACATCGAGCTGAGGCCTTCCCCCAAAGGATGAACCTCATTTGTAATCAATTGCAAACACTAGTGGTTTCATTCAAACTTGGTCATCCCTCGTGGTTTTCCCTCCTTTTCAGGGGTTTCGATGTAAAAACTCTCGTCTCTTACTCTCTATCACCGCTAATATTTTAGTACGCAACCATGCTCATTATATTTCCTTAGGCTGGGTCTATTGTTCTCTTTATTATTCTCCAAGTGAGTATTTTGGGCACTTAGTCAACTAAAAAAGAAGCCCCTTTCTATTAAAAATCACCGTGGATGTTAAGGTATCTCATTTCTTGAATCTCTATTGCACCATCAGTCATCTTTGTTGTGAAAAAAAAAAGAAGAAAAAAAAAAAGAAGGTAACGTAGTTAACCTAACTAGGAAAACGAAAGCGTCAAGTTGAGGAAATTAATTAGTGCTCCATTTGCAAGCACATTCACTTCAGAAATGATGCAAATAAATATTCTACCTTTATGGATGACTCCATCCTCTTATTTTATGTTAGCTTCCTTTGTCTTTGCATAAAAATATCGGCTAATCCAACATAAAAAATTCTCTATACAAGAAATGCTGAGTCCTCCATGAAATTTCCATGACAGTGAAATCTTAACTTCTGTATTTTCTAATAATATTCAGGCCTGCAAATTTATCATATTTAGGCTGTTTTTCTTGTTTTCTTGGTTTGTTCTTTGGTTTTTGCATCGTCAAATGCAAGTTCTTCTCGTTCAATCTGGACTGTCAATTGTTTATCATGAAGCCCGAAACAATATAATGCACTGTTGATTTTCTTCTATTAATAGGATTTCAACTCCACAGAGTGAGAGTAGAAGGAAGTCATGAAAGGAAGGAGATGGGAGGATTTGCCATTTGATTGCTTGATCTTTGTTTTCTGCAAGTTGGGATTTGAGGATCTCACAATTTCTGTCCCCTTTGTTTGCAAATCATGGTATAAGGCCTCCATTGATCCTGACTGCTGGAGAGTTCTTAACTTTAAGGAGTTAGATTTCTCCACAAAGAGCAAATTCATAGCAAGGTTCAAACGACTGTATCAGTTGCAGAGCTTCTCCTTCTCATCTTTCTTGAAGCTCTGCATCACAAAAAGCCATGGATCTGTCATCGAGCTTCGAATTCCATCCTTGCTTGGTGCTTCGTTGCAGCAAGATTTGGTTTTGATTTCCATCAAGTATGAAATACCTCTAGTTTGAATCTTTTTCCTAACTTCTGTTTTGATTGAAAAAAAATTATTTAGGGGCAGATGAGGGTTAAAAAGTGCCCCTAAACTATTTAAACTTTTGAATTGATTGGTACATACCAACGTATATAACCTATCTGAACAGTAGTATTAAAGCAGACCATTTAACTGTGATGAAGTGTTCTAAACACAGAGATGCAATTGTTCATTACAGAGAAGTTAGGGGAAGGTTATTATGCGCAAGTTTGTTCTTAGAATACAACTTTTTTAGGAGCTGCAATACAATTTTATAGAGTTGCAAGATACCTTTTTGTGCTTAGCACAGCAACAATCAAATCAAAAGAGAAGTGTTTTGATAAAAAGAGCTAAATTTAAATACAGATAGGAGCTTCAACAAATTTTCTCTCTTGTTTCAAGCTTTTCAAGTTTTAATTGCAATTGTTGCAGAGTCCATTACTGACAAATTCTGCAACCTTAAATTACTTGACTTTCAGGTGCCCAAAATTAAAGGTACTTTCTCTACCTACACTTCTATGGAATGATGACAAGCAACTCCCTGAGCTGATATGCAAGTGGAAGGAAATGGAAACATTAGAAATGACATGGAAGCCAATTTCATTCCTTCAAATGCTTGAGCAAATCAAGCTCTACTGCCCAAACTTCAGTGAGCTTAACCTCTGTGGCTTCTTCAATGGAAAGGATGCACAGGCAATAATCAGATGCTTGCCAAAGTTGAAGTGTTTGTTTATGAGTGCATCATTTCTGAGAAAAAATGATTTGCTGATGATTTTGGAAGGATGTAAGGAATTGGAGGAGGTTAATGTTTCAAGGTGCAGAGGATTGGATGTTGATGATGCTGTATTGAAAAAGGCATCAAAGATGAAGTTTGAGTTTGAAGGATGCAAACCAGAAGAAAATTATGGTAATACTTACTATAATTATGATGATCTGTTTATGGAATTGGTTTTTGGATATTAAAAAAGTATGCAGAGTTATTTCTTTTATGTTAATATTAAATGAGAGTTTGTGTTAAGGGACATTCGATGTCATAATAAGCAGTTAAAAATATATATTTATATTTGAAAAATCAAATTGATCCATTAAAATTTTGAATCGTTAGAGAATTTGATCACTGGTTTATTAGGCTAACTTCGACCCCCTTTGATACCATTATCATTAAAAAATCTCCATCTGGTTCAATATCTTGCTTTGTTGCGGGCTCCAAAAATTGATGCCCAGGCCTCTCTGCGTGGCCCTTTCTCTTTCGTGGGCGTTGAGGAGAGTTTTAACGAAGATGTTCCGAGACAAATTTTCAAAAGACAGATTGGGTTTTAAATAAGACACTACTTAGATATTTTGTCCTCATTTTGCGAGGACTTTGTGATATGAGTTTATGTTTCCTATAGGCACAAACCCCAATAGTTAATTATCCCTCCTGATAACGAGAGAGAACTTTTGATTAAGGCTAGTTATTAAACATGTACATAGTACACGGTGTATAATACTAGTATGTTTAGGCATTTAAAATTTAATATTAGAAATTCACCATCTTGCACTTAAAGTTGATGCTGGGGGGAATGATGATAGTCCCGATCAAGATCCCATGGTTTCGTCGTCCCGGTTCATCATGTTCCATAGTTTACTTAATTAGTTAGAGGAGGTAGTCGACCCAACTTGACGTAGGATCCTTGTCGGTAACCATGAGTTGCTTTATCCAAGGATACCTTGTAGACATGGTGTGAATATTTATCTAAGGGGACAAATTTTAGTCCATCTTAGCTGGCAAATGGTTTTGTGCCCTATCGGTCATATTCTATTGATTCATTACTTAAAGATTTAATGCCATTGAGGAAATAGGGGCTTTGACCAAGATCATAATTTAATGGTGACATTTAGCGACAAAACTACCCGATCATAACCGTTTACATGTGGTGCCATTTTGCTGTGAAACCATCGATTAGAGGACATGTGCAATGTCATTATTGGCAAGAGATGATTTGAGAATAAATCTTAGTGATATTCTAGACTAGATATTTATATTTGTGAGCTGAAGTGCTTTTCAAACTTGTCAATCTCGACAAATTGCTGCGGAGGGTGGATGTGTATTTTGCTTTAAGTATTTTGATATTTTATTTTAATTTTAAACAGTAATATCGTTCATGAATATTTTAAAGTCAATTGAATGTATTTTATGGGAATTTGGAGGAATATTGAATGTTTGGGATCCACTTTAGTTGAGACTTTCTGTCAACACGGTCATCATCACGACGATTATGGGTAATCTTATTTTTTTGGTCGGACCTTGTCGACTTTATTTACTTGCCGACAAAGGATCAAGTTCATCATTGGATTTATGACTTTATTAATGAATCTTTCTTGTAATAGACCTTGATGGCCTAATATGAACGTCCAAAATAAATGCTCTGGTTGTTGCTACGATCGTATATTTGTTCGACGATTCCAGTTGTATCAACTCTATCTATTTATTGACAGAGGATAATGCTTGAACTAAAATAGATTTCTTGACCCGCATAACATCATGAGGCATTATGTGCTTTCGTACATCAATCTCATCGGGGCCTATGTGGGTATAAACCTTTAAATACATTTTCCAAGAAGTGTTTGTATGGTGGTTATATGTATGCAATGCAATGGGTATATATATAACATATTTGCATACTCACATATACATTTATATTTTCATCTACATCTTAACATGCTTACGTATGTACTTGTGTATTTTGCATATATGCATGTATGTTGGTATTTTGTATTTGCACATTGCATGATGTGTTGGACAGACTGTGTAGTAGTTTAATGCATGATCATAGTTTATGATGCATTTGCAAGTCAGTGTAGTGCACTTCCACTATGCGATATATTTTACATGTTGGATAATATGCTTGCATGATGTATTTTGTATTTTGCAGTGTATATATGCATAGTACGAATGCATCTATACGCATTTCATATGAAGGTAATTTTGTAGTATTTGAATATACTTAATTATGTAAGGAATAATTATTTAGAAGATGCACAAGTTTCCCTAAGGGGGCTTGTGAACACCTTACACTGCAGGAAAAATGTCTATTACCAGCGGTTCTAACCGGCGGTTTATGGACCACCGGTGTTATCGGAGGTTTGACCGCCGGCTTTTAACGGCGGCCTAGCCGCGCCGCCGGTACTAGCGGTTGTCCATAAACCGCCGGCAAACCGCCGGACATCAATATGAACCGGCGGTTTAACGGCGGCCTGGACTGCCGTTGATAAGTTATTTTTTACCGGCGGTCCGGACCGCCGAAAAATCGCCGGTAAATGCCCTAATACGACCAGACCCGCAACTCACATTTCATTCTTACTCTTTCCTTCTCTCTCGTTTCGGTTGCTCTGCCGTCGCCTCCGCTCTTCCGACCGCCACCGACGAAGCTTCTCCGACCGCCGTCGACGAAGCTTCTCTGACCGCCGAACCAGATCCGACCGCCGACGGTTAAACTCCGACGTCCGACCGCCGTCCTAGTCAGACCCCAAACCGTCCGATTTTTATTTTAAGGTTATTTTTTATAGTTTTTCTTTGATCATTTGTTCTCACTACACATTTTCAAGTGTTAGAGATATTTTGGATGATTTAGGTAGTAAGAAAAGATGTAATGTTGTAATCGTTGTGTTAGATCTAATTTTTTTTTTTATTAAGTGTTATTTTTGTTTAGGTGGAATCTATTTTGTTGATTGTTACTTTTAGTTAGAGCAAGATAGGAAGAGAGAGATTGAGGGAGAGAAAAGAGAGGGAGAGGACACCAACATTCAAGAGAGGT